GATTAGGTACATACTAACCTCTGTAACATCCCATAAACAATGTATGGCATATATAACTTACTGTAAAGTACTCTTGTAAAAATCCCACTAACATATTGTATGGCAATATATAAACATACTGTAAATTCGCTGCATAACATCCCCATAACCATATTGTATGCAATAGTAAAAAATGTGGAAATACGTCTGCAAACATCCATAAACTATTGTAAGCCAATACATACGAACTGTAAAGACTCTGTAAACATCCATAACATATATGTACAAGATAATAAAACATGGCTGGAAATACTCTGTAAACATCCATAAACAATTATTTGTATGCAAATATATTAAAAATACTTGTAGAAATATTCTGTAACATCCCATAAACATAATTGTATGCAATATATGAACATGCTGCGAAAATTTTACTCTCGCAAAATCCCATAAACATATGGTATGCAATATATAAACATTTGCTGGGAAATACCTGCAAAAACATCCCATAAAAGTATTGTATGAAATATTAAACTACTGTAAATCTCTGTAAACATCCATAAAAACATTATTGTATCGCAATATAGACAACATACGCTTAAATCTCTGTAAACATCCTAAACAGTTGTATGCATATTATAACATGCTGGCAAATTACTCTGTAAACATCCCACTAAACATATTGTATTGCATATATAACATGCTGGAATACTCTGTAAACATCCCATAAACATATTGTGCAATATAAAAACATACTGTAATCTCATTGGTAAAATCTAAACATATGTACTTGCAAATATATAACTACTGTTAATACTCTGTAAAACATCCCATAAACCAATTGTAGCAATATATAAAACATTGCTGAATACTCTGTAAACATTCCCATAAACATATTGTTGCAATATATAAACATACTGGACAATATCTGTCATACACTCCATAAACCATAAGGTATGCAATATATACAACATACTTTGGAAAATTTTACTCTGTAAACATCCATAAACATATTGTATGCAAATATATAAACATGTGAAATACTCTGCAAAACAGCCCATAAACATATTGATGCAATATTATAACATGGCTGGAAATTTACTCTGTAAAACATCCCTAAAACATATTGTAATGAAAATATACTAACATAAACTGGGAAATACGCCTGTAAAACATCCCCTAAACATTACTTGTATGCAATATATAAACATACTGTGATAAACTCGGTTAACATCCCATAAACATATGTGTATGCCAATATATAAACATACTGTAAATACTCTGCAAACATCCCATAAACACTTATTGTATGCAATATATAAACATAACTGGAAATACTCCTGTAACATCCACATAAAAATATGTATGCATATAAAACATGCCTGGAAATTACTCTGAAACATCATTATAATACATCCCGTTAAACATTGCTATAAACATATGTAAAAATACTGTAAACATGTTGATTTTACATTGTTGTATACATGTGTAAACTGCATAAACTACTATTAAAACACCTGCAACAGACTGTAACAATGCAACCTGCTGTAAACAATCTGTAAAACATGCTCTTAAAGACCGGTAAACAGCCTATAAACATGATGGTAAACACTTACGACATTGAAATTTACATTTAACTTGCTGTTAAAAAGTATTGTATATTGCTTATTAACGAGTTGTATATATGCTGTAGATTTGCTTGTAAGTACCCGACTAATCTTCATTAAACTGCTGGCTTTCTTCTTCTTTCACCTCACTTTACGCTTGAAGGGGGTTGTTTCTATAGGTGAACCGAACAAACCCACATCACACATACATACACACAAACACACGACAGAGAAATCGATCAAGATCAACACGCTCACACCCAACAGCACCGCACCACACACATCACTAATCATCAGACCGAGATCAGAACATCAGTCCAGTCCTACTCCTGTACAATCATTGTATTACTCCCTTAACACTCTACATTCATGTACTAATTCTATGTTTATATGATGAATAAATTATATCATGATATAGTCTCGATGATTTTGTACCTTTCGGTGTACAGGATATGTAGTACCTTTGTACGACGCGATATTGACCTTCTCTGAAGGCTCAACTTTTATAGTTTGAACTGCCTTCATAGGTGTTCGTGTGATTCTGCATTTAGATTAACAGGTAACCTAAACAGATAATTGTTTCCTCGATTTCCTAGATCTCCACAATCATGGATATACAACTTTATATGTAAGAACTTAACACCATACCAACAGTGTACCAGATATCTTTGGTAATTCCTTAAATACAGTTTTTATAATGTTCGCTTTACAATTGCATGGTTGATTTTCGCTTGTTATAACTCCCCTATTAAATTCTCTAAGAGCCTCGTCATAAACCCCTGGACAAACTCGAAACCTAATTACGCACACCCGACTAGGCAAACCTCTAAACCATCGTTCAATTCATATGTTTCCTGGCACCATACGTCTAATTACTACTAAAAATTTACGCCTCATGATAACACGTACTAAATGCTACTAATAGCTAAATCGAACGACCTAAAAAACTACCTCGGGTCACATATTCGTAGTACCTGTTTACGACAGACGGGGACCTCTTCGTGCCTTCTTGTATAACCTTAAATAGATGCTGACTACTAGCTCTCTTTCGGTCTTTGTGTATCATGATTTTTCGCGCTTCTCGTTGATTTCTCCTCTTGTTGTAACTTGCTGTAACCAGCCTTGTTGTAACTTGCTGTAACCAGCCTTGTTGTAACTTGCTGTAACCAGCCTTGTTGTAACTTGCTGTAACCTTGTTTCAGGTTTAAGCTGCCACCTGGTCAGTACGTCATCGTTCCGTCGACGTTTGAGCCGGATGAGCCAGCCGAGTTTGTTCTCAGAGTGTTCTCTGAAAAATCCAACTCCACCGAGTAAGTGACTATTTAAGGCACATTGTACATGTATCTGCCATTACTCACTACAAGCATTGAATGTTAATATTTTCGGATGACGAAACAGTTAGTTTTGGTTTAATAAGTAATATCAGAGTGCCACGACGGTGCCATGCACGACCATCTGAAGGTGCACAAATGTAAACATTTCCTTCAAATAGGGGACATCCACCTATATTTTAATAACTCATTATTATTATTGTTTTTACTGGTATTATTATTACTTTTCATACACTTGTCTATTATTATTGGCATGGACATTTACTGACGCTATTGAAATGTCGTGTAATTTCCGGCGCATTTTCTGCATTGCAGGGAATTTGACGTGGACACAGGCTTTGATCCAAACGTCACGGTAAGTAGGCGACGCGTAATTCTTATTTCAATTTTCAGTTTACAATCTCATGTAATGTAATGTTATTAAAAATACAATTTATTATTCTCATTATTAATTTCATGACGAGTCTGTCAGGCGCGGATTTAGGCCGGTTTGCACCGGTTTCCAGAAACCGGTCATAGGCTGGGTATCTTCAGAATTGACCCTCAAAATTTACCAGAATGCACCAAATATAGCCTAATTTTTTAAAAATTGTTGGGGGGGCATCCCCCCGCACCCACCTAGCTGTGACTAGAACTATGGAAACTGGTCACGCAACCCCTCTGGATCCGCCCCTGTCTGTATGTCTCATATGTCTGTCTCATATCCCATGTCACTCGTCTGTTGTGAGGAGACAGCATTCAGTGACTGCTGCTACCACTTATCACGGATGAGTCATGTCTCATGTCTCATGATATCACTCATCCTATACGTCTAGGCCACATAACCACAGCCTTCGTGGATGGGAGCTCGTTGCTAGTTTGAAGAAACTACGTTAGCTTATACTACGTTGTGTTTTTATGCACGCGTCAATTTCTCGATCGAACAGCACATTGTTGCTCAGCATTGTTTTTTGAACGTCCTAACTCTAGCATGGTTGGTTAGCGCAGCGTCGCGATTATTTAGGTTGATAGATGGATTGGAAGTATTACTAAGGATGTTTCTTCCTATTTAATGTGTGTAATAATGTCTGTACGTCACTGATAATCGTCGTGTTGGTCTAACCATGTACTGATACAGAATATAGGTGATTGATGTATGGATGATCTGCAAGTTTACTTGTTGACACATTTACTTGTAAATAATTATATATTATGAACAATAAAATCAATTGAATATTATTGGTTATCATATAATTTAGTGTGTTTTATTAGGTGTGCCTTAACCCTGTTTTACGTTGGCTATATTTTCTCGCTAATGTTTTGCTCCGGCAGCCTCCGACGCCACAAGAGGAGGACCAGGACCAGATGGGGGTACTGTCTGAGGTGTTCAGTGAGGTCGCTGGTGAAGATCTAGAACTGAACTACACAGAGTTACAGCAGGTGCTAAACACCGTGCTACAGAAAGGTGAGCCATGTACTACCTACCTACTTACCCACCCACCTACCTACCTGCTCTGATCACCGTATCACCTACCTACTGCCTAGACCTTACTGCTGGCTGACCTGCCTGCCGTGCCTGCTGCCTATCTGCTGCCTGCCTACCTAAATACCACCATCCTCACTTACCTGCCTGGCCCTCGCTACCTACCTGCCTGCCCTGCATGCCTGCCTGCCTGCCTACCTACCTATCTATAGATACCTACCTGCCTGCTTACCTACCCTACCTACCTACCTACCTACCTACCTACCTACCTACCTACCTAGATACCTACCTGCTCGCCTGCCTGCCTGTTTGCCTCCCTGCCAATGCCTCCCTGTGCTGCCTGCCTGCCTGCCTGCCTTGCCTGCCTGCCTTACCTACCTACCTGCCTGCGTGAGCTGCCTGCTCCTTGCTGCTGGAATCACGCCAACCTATCCACCTACCCACCTACCCAACAACCACCTCCCCTACTTACCTGCCTACCAGTCGGCCCCACCGACTTGACTCAGTTTAACTAGACACTTACTACCTTGATGTAACAGTGTTTGTATGATGTTTTCTATGTTCTCATCAGTATGCATGTAGATTTGTATCCAGTATAGTTTTTATCAATGTATTTGTACTTAGATATCTCAATCACCTGTGTGTGTCATAGATCGCTGTGTTTATACATATTTCTTTGTTCTGTTCTCGGTGTGATGACTAGTAAATGTTTTTTCTTAAATGGAATTCAATGGATTAAATTCATTTATTTACTGTCTATATCTTAGTTGTTTAGTTGGTTTCATCAGAGATCATATACTTGATCCTGGGAAGCTTATATAAGTTGCTGTGTTATGTGCAGCAGATGTTCTGTCTTTCATCTTTGTGATATTCTCCAGGCATCTTATATTCTTCACTGTGCTGCTCATGTACGTGTGTTACATTGCATCTTCTGCATGCCACGTTTTCTTCTTAGGTCGGGCGGGAAGTGTTGACTGGTCGCAGTTTGTCACTATCTCTCCTGTTTTATTGCTATGCTCACTGAGAGCTTGTTATTGTAAACACTTCAACAATAGGCGCGGCGAAAGTTAGGACGTATTCGCATCACAGCCTGCCACACTGGATGTAAACAAAGCACTAGTTTGTTTTGAACACGCTCGTACATGTTAATGTATTAGGTACATACCTACTCTGTAAACATCCCATAAACATATTGTATGCAATATATAACTACTGTAAATACTCTGTAAAAATCCCACTAAACATATTGTATGCAATATATAAACATACTGTAAATTACCTGCAAACATCCCCATAACATATTGTATGCAATATAACAAAATGCTGGAAATACTCTGCAAACATCCATAAACTATTGTAGCCAATACATAACATACTGTAAAACTCTGTAAACATCCCATAAACATATTGTATGCAAATATAAAACATGGCTGGAAATACTCTGTAAACATCCCATAAACATATTTGTATGCAAATATATTAAAAATACTGTGAAATATCTGTAAACATCCCATAAACATATTGATGCAATATATAACATGCTGGAAATACTCTGCAAAATCCCATAAACATATGTATGCAATATATAAACATGCTGGAAATACTCTGCAAACATCCCATAAAATATTGTATGAATATTAAACTACTGAAATCTCTGTAAACATCCATAAACATATTGTATGCAATATAAAACATACGCTTAAATACTCTGTAAACATCCCATAAACATTGTATGCATATATATAACATGCTGGAAATTACTCTGTAAACATCCCATAAACATATTGTATGCATATATAACATGCTGGAATACTCTGTAAACATCCCATAAACATATTGTATGCAATATAAAAACATACTGTAACAATACTCATGTAAAATCAAACATATGTACTTGCAATATATCAACCATATGTAAATACTGCGTAAAACGATCCGCATAAACACAATTGTAGCAATATATATAAACATGCTTGAAAATACTCTGTAAACATTCCCATTAAACATATTGTATGAAATATATAAACATACTGGACAATACTTCTGTCATATCATCCCATAAACATAGTTGTATGCAATATATACAAACATACTTGGAAAATTACTCTGTAAACATCACGCATAAAGCATATTGTATGCAAATATATAAACATGCTGAAATATCTGGCAAACAGACCCATAAACATATTGATGCAATATTATAACATGCTGGAAATTTACTCTGTACAACATCCCATAAAACATATGTAATGAAAATATATAACAACATACTGGGAAATACCCTGTAAACATCCTCATAAACATACTTGTATGCTAATATATAAACATACTGGATAATACCGTGTAAACAATCCATAAACATATTGTATGCAATATAAACATACTGTAAATACTCTGTTAAACATCCCATTAACATTATTGTATGAATATATAAACATACTGGAAATACTCCTGTAACATCCACATAAAATATGTATGCATATAAAAGCATGCTGGAAATTACTCTGTAAACATCATTATAACATCCCGTTAAACATTGCTATAAACATACTGTAAACATACTGTAAACATGTTGTATACATGTTGTATACATGTTGTAAACTTGCTATAAACATACTATAAACACACTGCAAACAGACTGTAAACAATGCAAACCTGCTGTAAACATCTTGTAAACATGCTTTAAACACCGTGTAAACAGCCTATAAACATGATGTAAACATTACATGAACATTACATAAACTTGCTGTAAAAATATTGTAATCATGCTATACATGTATGATATATATGCTGTAAGATTTGCTGTAAGTACCCCGAAACTAATGCTTCATAAACTGCTGCTTTCTTCTTCTTTCCCACCTCTCACTTACGCTGAAGGGGTCGTTGTCGTATAGGTACCCGAGGTAATGCTAGTCTAGGGAGTCGCCTACGCCTACTCCCTAACCCTAACCCTAACCCTAACCCTAATTATAACCATATCAGATAGTTACCTCGGGTACATATATGTAGTACCCTATACGACAATGACCCTTCGTGCCTCACTTAGTTACTGTTAAAACACCTACTGGTTTCTTTGGCAAAATATGATCTTTCGCTCTGTTTTTTTTTCAATGCGATTCAACTAGGTTTCAATGCGTTTTATTAACCATTACAATGTATTTTTTTGCAGTATTAACGTGCGTGAACTCGGTCTTTGTTACACTGCCGAGCTGTTATGATGTTTTGTAAACAGTCACTACAATCTTATACTCAATATGAGATCATTTACGATCTAATAGCTTCTTCTTAAACTTCAAACACTAAATGCCTAAAATAATTTATCGCTATGTGTTAATTTCCGCGGTATAGTGACATGTTCTGTGGCTTTACGTTTCAGAGTTTGAGTTTGATGGATTCAGCAACGAGTGCTGCAGGAGTATGGTGGCCATGAAGGATGTATCCTTGACGTAGTCAGTGCAGACACAGCATCCTCCTATTACTGCCCCCTGCCCCTTGCCTGCTCCCTAGTCAAGCCACCTGCCCGCTGCCTACTCCCTAGTCAAGCCCCCTGACCCCAGCCTGCTCCCTAGTCAAGCCGCCTGAATTCTGCATGCCTGTCTATTCCCAATGCTTTCTCCTACTTGCCTCACACCCTCCCTTTCCTTCTCAATCATACCATCCTCCTTCAATCTATTTTCCTGCTAACAGGCCTCCCCCATTAATCTTGCATTATCAACCCTCTCTCTTCCCCACAACCTTTTTTTCCCTTAATCCTTCCTCTCTCCTGAACCACCCCTCTTCAGTCCTTCCTCTCACTTGATCCTCCTTCTCCCTCTGTATTCAGTTATGCTGCCCCTCCCCTTTACTCCTCCACCTCAACGCTCTCTGTCAACATTACATGGTCATGGTAAGCTTTCTTAATGACGTCATCGTCAGGTTGATAGATCGGGAGAACTGAGTCTATCTGAGTTTAGACAGCTGTGGAGAGATGTACGCTGGTGGAAGGTAGGTGCATGCTGGGAGATAAACAAGAGAGCATGTCTATTATCAATGATTGTTATGTGCTAGCTTGACCATCACTTAATTCGTGCATCTTTACTTAATCGTGTAACCTTAACCACTGTGTGTGCGCCTGTGGCACTTGCACTGTATAGGGAAGGTGAGCAGAGTTTGAGTGGTCCTTGTTATGGATGTTGA